TCCCAAGTAGCTGGGACTACAGGCGCCCACCACAATGCCTGGCCATTTTTTGGTTGCAGCCATCATTGTTGTTTGGCGGGCCCGGGCTGGGGATTTGAACCTGCCACCTTAGGTGTATGGGGCTGGTGCCTTAGCCGCTTGAGCCACAGGCGCCAAGCCAGATTGTTATGAATTCTTATTGAATTACTTCTTTTACCACCTTTGTCTGTCTTTCCTGTTGATGATTTTAAGGCAATTTTATCTGATATGTGAATGGCTACACCTGCTTTCTTTTGGTTTCCATTTGTGTGGAATATTTTTCTCCATCTCTTCACCTTGAGTCTGTATGAGTCCTTGTGGGTTAGATGTGTTTTGTGGAGGCAATAGATACTTGGTTTTGTTTTTTCATTTAGCCAGTGAGCCTGGTCTTTTGAATGATGGAATGGATGTTGTTTTTTTCATTATGTTGGGCAGCACCTTATCAGTTTGTTTTCCCACTTGTACTATTTTATACAAGATATGAGCTTTTACTTGTAGCAATGGGATTGCTAAATCATAAGGTAGCTTTATTTTTAGTTTTTTGAAGAACTTCCTACTGTTTTTTTTTTTTTTTTGCAGTTTTTGGCCGGGGCTGGGTTTGAGCCCACCACCTCTGGCATATGGGGCCAGCATGCTACTCCTTTGAGCCACAGGCACCACCCAGAACTTCCTACTGTTCTCTATAATGGCTGTACTAATTTATGTTCCCACCAACGGTGTGTGAGTTCCTCTTTCTCTGCATCTTCATTAGCATTTGTCATAGCCTATTTTTTGGCTAAAAGCCATTTTAACTGGGTGAGGTGATATATTGTTATAGTTTTGATTTGCATTTCTCTGATGATTAGTGATAGTGAACATAAAAAAAAGGAAATTCTGTCATTTGCAACAACATGGACAGAACTGGAAGGCATGATGTTAAGTGAAACATGCCAGAAGACAAATTCTGTATGGTCTCATGTGGGAACAGAATTTAAACAAATTTAACTCAGGGTGGTAGAGAATAGAATGATGGTTACTAGATGCTGGGAATGGTAGTGGGGAGGAGAATAAAGAAGGGGTGGTTAATTTGTACAAAAACACAGTTAGAATGAGTAAGATCTAATATTTAGTAGTACAATAGGGTGATTGCAGTTCACAACAATTTATTGTATATTAAAATAACTAAAAGAATGGAATTAGAATGTTCCAAACCAAAGAAATGGTATATGCTTAAAGTAATGGGTACCCAATTACCTTGATTTGATCATTACACATTTCATACCTGTATTTAAATATCACCTGCCCCCCCATAAACATATACAACTATTATATGCCCATGATAATTAAAATAAAAACAAAATGCACGCCTTCTTTTTACTATTGTTGTTATTAATTTTGAGAGTCTATGAAATATAAGTCAGAATTGGGAGGGATTTAAATAAAATATATCCAGCACGTATTGAAAATAAAAATGAATGATACTATGTATGACGTTAGTGATGTTAATGAAATAAAGGGATGGTACTTTAAAATATGGTGAAATATGTTGACATAATTTCATATCTAATCTCTTGATTCAAAGATTGAGCAAAAAAGGGAATTGTCTCTTTTGTTACAATGTGCTGAAAGCTAAAAATTATAATATGAAGTTAATGATTTACATTCATTTTCTATTTGGTTCTTACCAGATTCCTAATACTAAATTAGACACTTTAAATATTATAGAACTCAAATTTTTTTTTTCTGTTGCTATTGTTTAAATACGGCTATTTTTCAGGCATAACAAATGGACAATGTCAGTTCAGTGCCCATAGCTCAGTGGGTAGGGTGCCGGCCACATATACCAGGGCTGGTGGGTTTGAACTTGGCATGGACCTGCAATGACAACTGCAACAACAACAACACAACTGCAACTGCAACAACAACACAAAAATAGCCAGGTGTTGTGGCGGGTGCCTATAGTCCCATCTACTTGGGAGGCTGATGCAAGAGAATCGCTTAAGCCCAAGAGTTGGAGGTTACTGTGAGCTGTAATGCCATGGCACTCTACCTAGAGCAACATAGTGAGACTCTGTCTCAAAAAAAAAAAAAAAAAGACAATGTTTTACAAAATTAATGGAATTTCTACCATTCATTATAGATATTTATATGCCATTTTCCAAGTAAGATCTTCTGAAGAGAATTAGGCTTAGGAAGGTTAGGGATCTTCAGTAGAGATCAAGAGCTATAGTGTAGATGAAATTTGTCTTTGCCTCTGCCAGTAAATCCTTTTCCTGGTTTTATGCTTCCTGCTGTGGTATCCTTAATACTCTTCCTTCTTTACTCATCTGGATTATTTTTCCCTATAAAAATCTGAATTTAGTGAGGAATGATTTCAGTCATATATGTTTTTCCTGACCATAAGCATAATTTGAATTTAATCCTCATTAAAAGTGAGGATTTTCAAATGTCATTGAACATGAGGTAGAATATCTGGGGGCCCATGGGCTTTTCTTGGATGCCTAAAATAAATCTGTGATTAACATATGTGTGCTGTGTTTATTCATTTAAAATAGAATTTATAGCAATGTGCAAAGGAGAAAGGATTTGCTTTAAAAAAGTAGAATTCAGAATTCCTAGCCATTGGTATAGATTTGAACTAAACTTATCTCTACATCAAATAGATGGGACCATATGTTTGTATATTGTAAACAAGATGGCAATAAAATAAGAGAAAACTTTACATCATTAGCAATTAATAGGAGCCATGTGCATATAATGTGTTAATATGATAATATCTTTATTCATTAAATAATGTACTAGGTACAGATGATTTCAGCAATCCTCAGTTAGCTGTTCCCATGTTATAGTAAATAGTTAATAGTTAATAAATTTGCAACTCTTTAAGTTTAGACTTTTTTTTTTTTTTTTGGAGACACAGTCTTCTTATCATCTTGGCTAGAATGCAGTGGCAACATCATAACTTACTGCAACCTCAAACTCCTGGACTCAAGCCATCCTCCTGCCTTAGCTGTATGAATAGCTGGGACTATAGGTGGCCACCAAACCTGGTGAATTTTTTCTATTTTTAGTAGAGACAGGGTCTTGCTGTTACTCAGCTTGGTCTCAAGCAATCCTCCCACCTAGACCTCCCAGAGTGCTAGGATTACAGGTGTGACCACTGTGCCCAGCCTAGTTTGTTTTGTTTTTGAGACAATATCACTCTGTCATCTGGGTTAGAGTGCTATGGCCTTAGCCTGATCCATGGCAATTTCAAACTCCTGGGCTCACTAGTCATCTCGCCAGACATCTTGCTCCTAAGTAGCTGGGACTATAGCTGCCCACCATGATACCTGGGTAAATTTTATATTTTTATAAAGGGTCTTGCTCTTGTTCAGGCTGATCTCAAATTACTGACCTCAAGTTATTTTCCTATCTTGGTCTCCCCAAATGCTAGGATTACAGGTGTGGTCTCTATGCCTGGCGCTAGTTTAGACTTTAATGTATGTGGTTTTCCTATTCCGCCTTATAAGTGAGGAATTCCTGTATGTCAAGAAGAGAATTTTATTTTATACTCTTGTAGGAGGGAAAATTAGTCAGTTTTTTTTTTTTTTTTTTTTTTGAGACAGAGCCTCAAGCTGTCCCCCTGGGTAGAGTGCCGTGGCATTACAGCTCACAGCAACCTCCAACTCCTGGGCTCAAGCGAGTCTCCTGCCTCCGCCTCCCAAGTAGCTGGGACCACAGGCACCCGCCACAACGCCTGGCTATTTTTTGGTTGCAGCCATCATTGTTGTTTGGCGGGTCCGGGCTGGGGATTCGAACCCGCCACCTTAGGTGTATGTGGCTGGCGCCTTAGCCGGTTGAGCTATAGGCGTTGAGCCAAATTAGTCAGTTTTAATAGTGACCAACAACTCTACACTATTATAAATATAGCTGGTAATAACAATGCCATAATATTTACCTTAAAATACTTTAAAGTGACTGAGACATATTTTTTCTCTACCAGAAAAAATAGAAAAATTAGCCAGGCACTGTGGTGGATGCCTATAGCCCCAGGTACTCAGGAGGCTGAGGCAAGAGGATTGCTCAAACCCAGGACTCCGAGGTACCTGTGACCTATGATGCCACGACACTCTACCAAGGGCAACAGAGTAAGACTCTGTCTCGAGAAAAAAAAAAAAAAGTAACTGAGATGTAATGGGAAAATTTGGGGCATACATAATAGAATTCCAAAATATAGAAATGGAATATAGTTTTCTCAGTCCATTCCTATTCCTCCACTTCCCAAGTCCCCTCCCCAGAGGTATGCATTGCTCTCATTTTCCTGTCTGGATTGCAGAGGTATTCTGTGCATTCCATGTATTTCTAATGTTATTTCAATTATTTATTTTAGATGACTCCAGAATTAATGATAAAAGCATGTACATTTTATACGGGACGTTTGGTAAAGACCCATTTTTGGTAAGAATATGATTTTTTTTAGAATGTGATTATTACGTGTATATGCTATTTTTTCCTCTTTGTGTTTTTATTCTGGATATTCTTTATACAGAGAAACATTCACTTTTGGCTAGTTGTGCTTATTTTATCTATATAGTCATGTTTCCATCATTTTGTATTATGTATTTCTTTTATATTTAACTAGCTTTTATTTAGCTAAAATATGTTCTTCTTCAAAATATAACTTTGTCTTTTTTTAAAAAATAAAACTTCATAGTTGAAAGTATAGGTTTACGGTCTACTTACCTGAAACTCTTAGGGCCAGATATGTTTTAGAGTTCAGATTCCTTTTTTAAAAATATAATCATCATTAGGGTCATTGAAATTATAACATGACTTTATCCAGTGATTCTTTATCTTCTCCAAAAAGAAATATGACTGTCATATAATCTCCATTTTCTTCTAAAACTATCAGGAAAATTTTAGGTCACATTCAACTTGTAGAAGTTTCTTTCTGTGTTCTGGTAGAAGGGGATAAGGGAGGTTATCACTATTTGTTGCTCTTTATTTACTAATGCATTGTGCTAACACCAAAATATTATTTTTCTTTATTTTCTGCTTGCAGTAGTTGGAGAGAAATAACAGTACCTCATGCAAAACAAGATGAGGTCATGTCTGGAAAACAGGAAAGAGCAGTGGCACATCACATTTTCAGACTTCAAAAATCTGCATTTCATGCCTGGCATGTTTATGTAAAACATAAAAAACAAATTTTTAATGGTAAATCCTTTATTAAAACAATCAAAAAACAGTAAAGCATAGTTTGTATACTTAGAGAATTTATAATTTTTATGGTTAGAAAATTGTCATGAAATGTAGGTAGAGCCACTAATTTAAAATACTTAATGAGGCTGGGCACAGTGTGTCACTCTGGGAGGCTGAGGTGGGTGGATCGCTTGAGCTCAGGAGTTGGAGACCAGCTTGAGCAAGAGCAAGACCTGGTCTCTACTAAAAATAGAAAAACTACTTGAGTGTCATATGGACACCTGTAGTTCCAGCTACTTAGGAGGCTTGAGACAAGAGGATCTTTTGAGCCCAAGAGTTTGAGGGTGCTGTGAGCTATGATGACATCACATCACTAGAATGAGACTCTGTCTCAAAAAAAAAAAAGAAAATGACATTACAGCTCATAGCAACCTCAAACTCTTGGGCTTAAGTGATTCTTTTGCCTCAGCCTCCCAAGTAGCTGGGACTATAAGCACCCTCCACAATGCACAGCAATTTTTTTGTTGTAGTTGCCATTGTTGTTTAGCAGGCCTGGGCCAGGTTCAAACCCACCAGCCCTGGTATATATGGCCGGTGCCCTAACCACTGAGCTACGGGCTTCGAGCTAATTCTAGCCTTTTGTTTAGACTTTTTTGCAGCTTTCCTGATAATGACTTGTTTATGGCTGTTGCAAACCAGAGAATTCCTTCTTTTTGATTGACTGTCTTTTTTTTTTTTTTTTTTTGAAACAGAGTCTCAAGCTGTCGCCCTGGGTAGAGTGCCATGGTGTCACAGCTCACAGCAACCTCCAACTCTTGAGCTTAAGTGATTCTCTTGCCTCAGCCTCCTAAGTAGCTGGGACTACAGGCGCATGCCACAATGCCCAGCAATGTTTTGGTTGCATTGTCATTGTTTAGTAGGCCTGAACTGGGCTCCAACCTGCCAGCTTAGGTGTATGTGGCCGGCTCCCTACTCACTGAGGTACAAGCACTAAGCCAATTGGCTGTCTTTTTCTTGGTACTGGAGGTAGAGTGGACCCTCCAGAGGTATTAACTTAAGTGTAATGAAGAGTTAGTACTAGTTAACTGGGTAACTAGAATTTCACAGGGTTGTGTCAGTAGGTAATAACAATCTTCAAAATTCTTATCCCGGGTGAACTGTGAGCTCTGTAGTGAAAGCAGTTTAGTCCATTAGAAAGGCCTCTCTACCATTCCCCACCCCGCTACGCTTCAGAGTATTCTTTTGGCTTTGTGTACTTTTCCTTCTTTCTGTGGTGGGTTCTTGCTCTTCCTTCATGCTTCTCTTTTCACTTTTTCTTCCCTTGTCTCAGGGCTCCTCCTGCTTCTGCACATTGCTTTTTTATTTCTTTCTAATTGCATCTCTTGTCTCTTTTTTCCTCCCAATCTCTTCCATGGTCAGATTGAATCTGTGAACCTGCCAATATTCCCTCCTCCTAACTTCCCTCTTCTCTCTCCTTTTTCCCAAATGCCACCCACGTGCTGCTTCTCTATACAGTTCTACTTATTCCATCGCCTGCCCTTTTTTCTTATACCCCTCGACCTCACCATTATATAATAACACAAGAGCATATTTTAAAAAAGCATTTATTGGACTTATGCAACAAGAATTTATATTCCTGTTTGTAATCAAAATTAAGAAATTTCTGAGTTATATAATTTCTCAAAAATATCCAAGTTGTATTCATACTGTAGCACTTGATGGATGCTATTCCTTTCCCTTACCTTCAGGTCAGAATATGTTCTGCACAATCCTGATCATAAAACAGTGAAAATTTTGCTTTAGAATTAATTGTCAAAAATTCCAAATAATAAGCGTAACTTATGATTCTAAATGATACCATTAAAATGAACCCAAAATAATAAAACATAATCAACATTTAAATATTATACATTTGGACAGGTGTGGTGGCTCATGCCTATAATCCTAGCACTCTGGGAGGCCGAGGCACATGGATTACATGAGCTCACAGGTTCAAGACCAGCCTGAGTCAGAGCCAGACCTTGTCTCTAAAAATAGCTGGGTGTTGTGGCAGGCACCTGTAGTCCCAGCTACTTGGGAGGCTGAGGCAAGAGAATCGCTTAAGCCCAGGAGTTTGAGGTAGCCGTGAGCTGTGATGCCATAGCACTCTATCACGGGTGACAAAGTGAGACTCTGTCTAAAAAAAATTAATAAAAATAAATAAAAATTATACATTGTGTAATGCTATAATAACATCTTCAGTGTTAACCAAATTATTATAATTTAGAATGTATGTAAACAATCTGGTATATTAAATGATATGCAAATGAGTTTATTTTTTTGAGACATAGTCTCACTATGTTGCCCTTAGTAGAGTGCTGTGGCATCACAGCTCACAGCAACCTCAAACTCTTGGGCTTAAGTGATTCTCTTGCTTCAGCCTCCCAAGGAGCTGGGACTACAGGC